TAGGTCTTAGCCCTTAGAACTTAGATGTTCCGTATAGGCGGGAAAACGCCATATTAACTGCAAGATAGATAAGAAGATGTGAGATAAACTTTTTGATATATTTCTTTATTTTTCTATTTTTTTATTTAAAGAATTGCAGAGATATAGCTAGAACGTTAAAAGATTAGGTGATTATATCTTATATATAAGGACCAGGTAAAAACAACCAATTTCAATAGGAGACAAAGGTCGACCAAGCTATCTTCAACAAGCTGGGACAAATTGACTCCGTAAGTAGCTATTTTTAACCAGTTCTAGCTATTTTAGCCGAACCTGGCTACCAAAAAAAAAATCTTCGATGAGGGACACAAGCTTTAAAACTGATATATCCGTTGCCTGTAACTCAAATTATCATATTTGAAAAAGTATTTAAAATTGTGTAACTAACAGTTTTATAATAATTAAAAAATGTTGATTTTCTTATGTTTATTAAAATAATTTGATTATTTTTTCTATTGCAGAATCTTCTTTATCCCTTTTCCTGATTATTAAAATGGGACTCTAAATTAGCGTGGAGGTTTGGACTTTGGCTGTTTGTTTTTACACCACTAACAAGTGTTGTAATAAAAGATTTAGCTGTCATTCTCAGAAGGGCTAGAACTGATTAACTTTGTGTGACATGTAAATGGTTACGACAAGTTAAAGCCATGTTGATTGTGCATCCTCGGAGCGATCTGTACATTCCACCCATCATATGATCAAACAGCGACAACTCGCCGGCAGTGATAGCGTCATAATACGCATGATGATTGAAAATTCAACGCTAGCATTGCTTCAACCTTTATTCCAGCTTTAACGGCACATAACGAGTAGCAAGGTTGAACAGTTTTATGCATGGAAAAAGTTGTAGAAATCAGCGTTTAGAATCCTGGCAAGGATTACTTCGTAAACAAGGTTGCACTGGCGGATATCATTTTTCAAGGATCTTATTGATTTCAAAGTTTCGATATAACAAATCGTGTACATATGGAATGTCTTATTATGGACTTGATCCAAGCAGAACTCTACATGACAAGCGAAATCCAAAAGAATATTGAAATACTTTACGGAAGACCTGATATAATGTATTTTGTACCTGGAATCTATGGTGGGCATAACTGTGATCATCGTGTTGATCAAGAAGACATAAAGATATGCCAAAACTTTTTATTAAAGGGCCTCATTAAAACCGAGAAACTTGTCGAGTGTTGTCGCCGAATAACGAAAAGTTTTTTGATAGCCATTAAACGTACCTTGAATTTTTTACAGATGATTGTGGAACATTTTTACAATTGACTTACAATGAACATGCAATTGGGTTTCGTGTTGGCATTCATAATTATTAATTATAGATTATATTATTTTTTGATTATTATATTGATTATATTGTTAATGATTTATTGTAATTTTAACATCAGATTTATGTGATTTCAGTGTGTCCTAATAATATACTTTGTGCTAAATGATGACAGGAATGTTGTTGAAAACCTATTGAACTGTTTCAAGATAACTGTTAATGAGGAACGTCTGGTGAAGTCAAAGCTTCAATAAATGGTTTTCCTATCAAATTGTGGTGTTTATTCTACAGTTAAAATTACAAGTATGTACACTTTGCATCAGCGGTTCAATGCTTCCGTGTATCCATTTCTACAAGGTCAAGATCACAAGGACCACTTAAATTAAAGTTAACCATTGCCTTAATTGCACTCCTGTTTAAATATTTGATGAAATCATCAGCGGTTTGATACTGATGGGGTTACCATGATATATAAGTATATTAAAATACAAGGATTTGTCTTAATATATAGTATTGAAAAAATGCCATTTGATATAATTTCCTAAGGTGTTCTGCACAAATGATTGATGGTGTGACCTGCTCTTGACTACAAATTGGAGGCATTACTGAATAGGCACAATATAATATTACAAAGAAAGTATATGGTCGTCATATTGGCAGGGTACTGAATGATGGCTTATCAAGCAATTGTTGCATAACTAGTTATAATACTAGATGTAAAGCGTGCAAATGATTATGAAAGAACTAATAGCGATTTTATAAAAAAACGTCATGCCATTATTGTGGCTATAGTTGCATGTTCCCTTAAATTTCAGTGACAAGGCAAATTACAGATTGCAAAAGTATTTTTGTTTAATATGCAGTACATTTATTGATTTTTTTTTTTTTTTTTTTTTTGTGGGGGGGGGGTGTGGATTTCTTTGTGTCGGCCTTTTTATCAAATAAGCATCAGCATCAGAAGAACCATATCAACTGATGTCACGCGATTCATCTGCACTTGCACTTGTTACAACGCATGTTTAAATGTGCGGGCCAACAGGTATAACAATGCGGTCAGGCAAAATCAAAGTACAAAGGGCCGCGTCAGTGAAGGACCTCCAAAGTGGCCTTAACGTGGTCAAATATATTAGAACTTAGGCATTAGAACTTAGTTCTTAGAACTTAGACATTAGAACTTAGACATTAGAACTTAGTGATTAGAACTTAGTGATTAGAACTTAGTGATTAGAAACTTAGTGATTTAGAACTTAGTGATTAAAACTTAGTTATTAGAACTTATACATTAGAACTTAGTTATTAGAACTTAAAAAATCGGTTTTGAAAGAGCTAAAAGAAGGAAAGATAACTCCGTTCTCAAACATTAAACTTTATTCAAGTTACAGTAAACTGCAAAACATGATACAAGACACTTATCTCATTAATTACAAAAAAGAATATCCACAATCTTATCACCAACAAGAATATCACAAGAACTTGTCAATGGCATACACCGGTGCAGTGCGTGCACACTCAAGAAATAGTTAATACTTCAGCTCTTTTACAATAATATTTATGGTAAAGATCAATTATATCTGTAGGTCTACAACAACTATTCATAGGAAAAAGATGTTCCTTTGATCTCAGGAATACCATGAGACAAAATGTCAAGAAATGCTAAAGTTAAGGTAAAATTCAATAAAATCTAGTTCCAACAAATTTCTCTTATATTGAAGAGCCTCCAAACCAAGCTGTTAAGTGTACGATGGTTGTTCTTGTAAGCATGGTTCAGATGAAATAAAGCATAAAAAATACAGAGTTAACAAAATACTTATTTCTATAAGTTTTTGTTAAAAGATTTGAAAAAATTATAGCGTTTTCTTAATCCTTCAGTTATATGCAAAACATACATGCACATGAACTTGAAAATTAAACCAGAACGATGAACTAAGAACTTTGATAAACATTTCTGTAAAATGCCTTTGTTTAATGTTTTCAATGAAGTATGACGCTATCATTGCGGGAGTTGTTACTGTTTGATACTTCGAGACATAAAATGGGTCGTCGACTGTACCCGTCGATCGCTCCCTGGATGCAGAAATCCATATGGCTTTAACTTTTCGTAACAATTTAGATGACACATATCTTCGCCGAGATGATTTGTGGCTTTGTGTTCATTAGTTCCTTCGGGATCGATTTGTGGCATTAGCCTCATACAGAATCCATAGACATTGCAACTGGTAGTCAGGCTCTAATTTGTGCAACATCGATCGAAACCTAAACACTTGACACTCCTCAGGATTCCTTCAATAATGGGGTCCCTTACTTCGTCCTTATAGGATGTACGTGTTTTTGCGTCGGACAAGATTGTTAGCCTTGTAAAATAAACTATGAATAAGTAATTTGTAATCAGTTCTCTAAAATTGTTAAGTGTGCCCCTGAGAATGACAGCTAAATCCATGATCACAACACTAGATACTTGGTGTTATAACAGCCAATGCCAAACATCCATGCCCATGTAGACACCATTTTTGTTGTCCTGAAAGGAATAAAGAAGATTCTGCAATAGGAAAAATAATCAAATTATTTTTGTACACATTACGAAACCAACAAAACTGACAGTTTACAAAATTTTTAATTCTGTTCAAAAGGTGGTGAATTACACTCTAAGACAGGCAATATATATCAGTTTTGACGCTTGTGTCCCTCGTCGTATGTGTTTTTTGTTGCAATGTTTTGGGTATAATAGCTACAATGGGCTAAGAAGCCTCCTTTTGTCTCCTTTTGAAATTTGTTGTTTTTACCACGCTTTTTAAAATTATACATATAAAAGCACCTTATCTTTTAACGTAATAGCTATATCTCTGCAATTTTTAAAAACAAAAAAATATAATTAAAGTAATATAATTACAAGTTTACCTCACATACATCTTCATGTCTATCTTGCAGTCAATATGGCGTTTTCCCGCCTTTACGGAACCTCTTAGTTCTAAGAGCTAAGACCTAAGTTCTAAGATCTAAGTTCTAAGATCTAACATCTAAGTTCTAACTTCTAACTCAAAATGGCCTCAATGGGCTTCCGTAGGTTTGGTTAGACTAAAGGCATCGTGTTACTCTTGTTATTTTATTATAATAACAAATTTCTAACCTCGTATTTAGTTTTACTTGTTTACAAGTTATCGAATATGCAGCCTAAATGACAAAATCGCATATACTTGTTTTTGAAAAATCATAATGCAAATCGTTTCAGATAAATTAGTAAAGACTTTGTGGCCAAAGAAAATGTAGCCAGTTTTGACACTTAATCAAGGATTTTTTACCATTATCACGTGTTTAGTTGAATCAAAACATTTTAAGTTATATAAAAGTTTCTTAGAAAATATCTACATGCATATTGGTAGGGGCAAGTAGAACTAATGACCTTCTGTAAGGCAGCATTATACTCCCTTATGACAATTAAATGTACAGAGGCCAGTGCCATAATCACCCGCCAACATATTCACATAAATGATTTGTATTTTCTTACCCTCAATTTAAATTTTTGTTTAATACTAATATATTTATATCTGGACATACATAATTGTTTATTCACATAGAATGAAAATATATCCGATATATTCAAGTTAACAGTATATACTTGTTATTTTACATGGCTTATTTCAAATACCTCCACATTCTAAAGAACGATAGTCTAACAGCATAAAATGAATCAGGTAGATAATTATGGTTTACAAGGTAATTTATTGACGCTAATCAATATTACTACAATTATTAACCATTATCCTTCTGAATTTCTCTAGTGGGCATGCTCACCTTTATACACCTCACCTACATTTGTAGGCTGGGCCAATTCGAAACGTAAATACTATTTATGTCTTCCACCACCCATACAGTTTAAAAAACACAAATATACATATAGTCGAAAAGATTATTATAATCTTATTCAAAAGAAAATTATAACTATAACATAGTGACATCTGTTTTTGTAAAACTTTTTTCGTTTTCCTTCTCCTCTGAAAAATCGATGTCATTTCTTCCATCCGTGTCAGATATGTTTTCAGGGACAAACCTATTCCCGTGCTTTGCGCCAATAATCGCTAAGACAACGGCTAAAATAAAACCAAGAATTGCACTACCAGCAACATGTAAAACGTACGTATGTGGCCCAAAAGAATCATACAAATATCCTATTAAACGCATATGGAGCATGTAGCCAAATGCACAGCCAACCATTTGAAGAGCCATTGCCATTCCAGTAAGCTCAATATGGTAGTCAGTCCATGCAATACCAGTTGGCCAAAGCGGACCAATACAGAATGCAACAACTTGAGTAAGGACCCATAATGCAGTTGAGTTGTCACATCCAAAGATTGCCAGAAAAATCGCAAAGACCATAAGGGTAGACGTCTCCAAGAGAAGAAGGAGTTTCACTGACATCATTCTGGCTATGATAAAGAAAATGAAGCGACCGGCGGAAAAGCTGATCCAAAAACTTGTATTCAATAATGATGCGTCGGTATTTGTGAAGTGAAGCTGGTCAATGGAAAAGGAACGAATAAACTTCGAAGTAAATCCTTGTCCACCTCCAGCGTTCCCAAAGTAAAAAAATACTACAAACAATATGCTTGATCCGTACCAAAATCTTCCTTTCGCACATGCAGCCGGATTGAACATTTGTAACAGCCCCCTTAATTTATTACGCCAGTCATATTTTCTTAAAACATTTAGGTAAGATTTATTGCTCTCTTCATTTACCTCAATTGTATTGTCATTTTCAATAAAACCGTTGGATTTTTTTGAAGCTGTCTCATTCTGGATTTGTTTGAGGGCTTTGCTTTGCACTACTTGTAAAATATAAAAAACTATTGATAGACAAGCTGCGGCAATTCCAGAAATAGCAAAAGCGTACTCAACTCTCGAATTTTCCAAATAAGACATTTCCTCTTTGAAATCAGAATAATTCGATGTAACTTCGATAGTAACATTACCGTAGGAGGTATCATTCGTGATCGATGTATTGTATATTTTAACTCCTAGGAAGGGATTTGAGTACAATGGAGCTAAAAATGATCCAATTCCATATCCAAGATGCATCAATATAATTGGGGAAGCTGACTTGTCTTTCCAAATGTTAAGATTTATTCGAGTACCCGCTGATTGGTTTAACATGAAGAACAAAGCAATACTTTTATTTCAATAACAAAATATAACGATTCAAATTAAATACAATCATGTGATATGTTTACTTTATATTTAGAATATCATGTTTTCTCCATGTTTCTTTGACATAATTCATTAAAATGTCATCAATAAAATATAAATATTTGTTTTCCGAGTTTAAGTGTTACTAAAGTAATAAGAGTAACTATATTCAAAATTTTACCTGTGTTGTGAATGGTCTCAACGAGACCAGATATAAAACAAAGTGTCCAGAGGTACAGTAGCGCTGGAACCCATGGCATCAAAACCACACAAATTGCTGCAATATCTAGAGTGACTGCAATCATCAAATGACAGTACGCACCGAACTTGTCTACAAGAATGCCACCCAAGATACATCCTGGGATCGTCCCGGCACCTCCTGCAGACAGCGCCACCGCTAATTCCTCATACCCGGCTTTAAATCTGTGCTTTAGGTCAATCAAAGTGGGCCCAGAGACCTCACAATACATACCCTGTATATATAATTATATATATATTCTTTATTTGAGTCTCATCCATACATAACAACATAAAACAATTCAATGACATAATTTTACAAAGTAAAAGTTATTTATGTACGGCCATTCTTATCAGAAGTACAAGAGACTATAAAATTTTAATCTAAAGGAAGGGAGGCAACTCTGCAAGAATGTCCAATGTCACTTACAGAGTTACCTCTCTTCTCATTCCATATTCATATGCATATTACAATTTAAAATTGCTAAAATAAGAAACTATTGCTAATCTTGTTCTAAAATACTTAAAGTGTTTCTGGTATTATTGCTTTACAGTAAAAATCCTTAAAATGTTCTCTTCCTTAAACCCGTAAAATTACACTGAATAACAATAGATTCTTAAACTATAAAATCATGTGAATAAAATTATTTCGTATCATTAGAAAGATAAAACCTATACGAGTAAAAATAAAACATTATTCAAATTTAAGTGACTGTACATATATTACTACATTCTTATATGGAAAAGAAATGAGGAAATAGTATTCATTTTTTTTCTTTTTTTTAGTCCAGGCACACAATTATAAAGAACTTGAAATTGTGGATATATACTATCAGTATCATTTTGAAGCATTGGGGTTTGGATAATTGTTTCTAAAATAACTTCACTTAATGCTGATATTTCAGATAACAGTTAACAATGGATCAATTTATTGTCAATAACTATTTTTTTTTGTGTGTGTGTGACACACTTGTTAGTAGTGTAAAATTTATTGGATACATATTACTAGACTAGTATCAGATGGACACACAGTTTCCTCATGATCCATATACATTTAAACTTAACATTATTAACAACATTGTATAAATATAGTTAACAATATTTTAGGCCAAGTCATTATTTCAATACTTGGTCTTTTAAAATAGATGTTATATAACGTTTTAAGTAATGTATAGATTGATTTGTCTCTTATATTTCTGTATTGAAAGGCATACGTATTTTATTATGTTTTAAACTACAGTTTTATATCATGTTGTACGTATGAAGAGACACTAATAAACTATTTGACTTGACTTGACTTGACTATAATGTCCCTGTAAGAAACAAAAGTCACTAATACAACAACATACACATCGAAACCTTTGTAAGATAGACATTAATTAATGTTCATGTCAAGAAAACCTTTGTGTTGATACAACAACCAATTATCGTCACGGCAAACCCGCTATTTGGACATCTTCAGGCAATGCAGTACGAAACCAAACTACAGTACTGAATCAGAAGATAAAAAAGGAATTCGGCTCATATGCCCCCGCTATACCCGAGCTACATTGGGCCGATACATAATGGAGAAAAATTGCAATTATGTACTGGGATGATTTTCTTTTTCAAATCTATACAACATATTTACAGTTTAATCAATTATAAGAGATTATGATAAAGTTTTCAAGAAATTTTGATGGAAACACGAAACAAACTCTTCTATAATATCTCTTTGTCGTTCTTGAAAAAAGCAAGTGCTGTTTTGTTTCTATGCTTTACTGTTACAGATCATTTTAAATCTGATTTATACCTACCCTGACAATCCAAGACGCAACAAGAGCTCCAGTTTCAACAACCTTTTGGCGAGTAGATCTGTACTTTCGTTGCTTGACAGTGCGTTCCTCATTTTCGGTAGAAGCAGGGTACATGTCACTGGGCTTTGAGGTAAATAATCAGATAATAAAAACAAATAGAATATTTTTTCATAACCAGAATCTAAAGTGTAAGACTTTTGATTCTTATTTATATCTCGAAAAGGAGTGCCTAAACAACAACAACAACAACAACAAAAAAAAACAACAACAACAACAAACAAGTATTAACAATGTGAAAATTAATGCAGACTTGGTTTGATTGAGTCTGTTCATGATAAAGTCATAAATCTCTCACACCCCTAATCATCCAATTTGGGCGTTTGAGATGGCACACGTCTATGAGTCACAATGGAAAGAAATATTTATTGCCTGTTGTTTATTGCATGTCTTCTTGTGACAATCTACTTCTCTTAGAATCGTTCAGAATGCAGTTTGTTTAACGGACATAGAAGGCTTTTTTAATACATATTGTTATAATGATATAATTACATTTTCTGAACACTAACAATGGTAAGGACCACTAATATACCTTCACATCGACAACAGTTTGTACGATATAACTCTACATGGACCAGAACAGAAGTTTCACATTAAAATATGTCAAACAAACTGCAAATAATTTATGAGGAAAGTGTCATATATGTTGTGTTATAGATGTTAAGAACAAGTAATGAACATTTGCATAAACTGTAGCCTGCACAAGGTTCGGTTTTTTTCGTACTATTTACAATATTTGAGTAATAAACATTCACCCTGCTCCTGGCAAATATTTTCAGATTCCAATGGTAAATATTTATCTAACGTAGCTCTTGTAATTTTCCTGGTATGCAATACATATTTTCATAAAAAAATATTTTTGTGAAAAACATTTCTGCGAGCATTACAGGTAAAGTAAAAGAGATTAATTGAAAACGACCGTTCTTTTAATATAAATAACGTATTATTTCGTCATAGTTTGGACTTAATACTCATTTGTTTGAAGCATCCTGTGAAATCGTTTTAGAATTTTAACAATTTAATTCCCAAACAAATGAAAACATTACCCGCTGCTCATTCCGTTGTTGATAAACGTGAGTTAATGCATCTCCTTCCATTTTTCCAGGTCAATTGATGTAAATTCAAAAAATATTTTATAGTTAACAAAGCCTGCAATGATAATAAAAATTGTAATAGTTCAAGTTAAATATATACATGTATAACTATATTTCTCACATTGAACATTTTACGACGGGTGTTCCGACAGTAATGCAATTTTATTTCAAAAGTTTAGATTTCATGACCATTTCTAGATGATATGACATGAAATGGAATTCCCTTATAATCTAACGCATTTCTGATCGTGTTATTTAAGATTTAAATCATATTTCATAGTGAAATACACGTTTATTCTGACACATTAATACAGCTGGTCCGAGCGAAATTATTAAAATATAAGAAATTATTAAAAGATGAGAAATTATTAAAAGGTGCAAGATCAAGTCATATATAGCGGCTAACCAAGCACCGTTACATATATAGTCTTCAGGAAACAGTTACATCTTTGGTTTTAGAAGAAGTTGCGTTGACGTGAAGAAGACATTTGTTGGTCGCCGTTGCAAGTAATTATAGTTTTATCAAGTTTTAATTATAGCAAGTTTTTAGTTTGACGCTCTTTTTTGTTTTGTCTTCAAACGTTTCAGACTAGCTTTGAACCGTTCCACCCACCGAGTATTCCATACGAAACTAGAACTTGTTGAAATACATCTATAAAAATATGTTTTACGCTTAAAACCAGTTTAAATCGGTTTACATTCAGGGTTCTCAGCCATTTTTTCAGCTAAGTGCAAATATTCTTACTTTCGGTCGCTATATACATACACTTTACTAGTAAGCGAAAGCATACACGTTCACACAAAAATGATGACAACATACATTTGTACCTCTATACATGGTTATAAATATAACATATGTAACTTGTGAAGTTGCATTATTCACGGAAAATCCCTAGTATCCCTACTCTAACATTTCTGTTTGACGTCGAAAAATATAATATTACATAATGCCTAATATTTATCCTTGTAATTCTCAAATAAAGAAGCACAGAAAATAATGTATCCGAATTCATCCTGATAATACACAGTTTTGAAATATTAAAAAATAATCGTTTCCAAAGCCACACTGCTCATCATGAAATTTAAAAAAGGAAACTTACTCGTATGTGTGTAAATACTCTTTTCACTCTGCTCTGAACAAAAAATAGTACCACCGTGACGATGGATGTTTTTAATGGTATATGACAATATACTTATCGATTTTAAGCTCATAAAGCTACAAGCTAAATCGCCCTTGCAACACAATGTTTCTCCATTAAATTTCTGTATGAAATAATTTTATTTAATAGAACGAAACAAAATGATATTCATATTCATTACTTGTTTTTATTTCTTGACTGGAAGTTTGTCAATCATTTTTTCAACTACTTATTTAGCCTATCAAGATGTCATACACCCTCTGACTATAGGCGGCAACTGATTCTATTGATCCACGCCATCTGGCCATTGTCTTCACTGTTCCTCATCATTATTATATGAAGATGCCCCATTGACAAATGAAAAATATGACCGGCTATATTTACCCGCACTTTATCTCACAGATACCTGTTTTCAGATATGTTTTTCTTTGGATTAAATTTTATATGAAATTTTTGTATTTACTACTTTTGAAGTTAAATTTACATTATATTTTAAGTGGAACTGTTATGTTCTAGTTTATTTAGTTTTACGGCGCACCAATACAATGTAAGCCATACAGCGCCGAAACAATAAAGAAAATTGCTCTAACACTGGATGTGATGATATAAGTAACAGATGAAACATATCTGATGTCGTTGTTCTATATAACTGATACAAAAGTTTAACTTAAATCATCATATTTCTAAACGAGTTTGTTAACTGGTAGTACAGAAGTACAAGTCTTTATATTATAGTTGAACATCCTAACACAGCAGCCACTCTTCTTCAGTCTGACATCCAAAAAATCTCTTTATGGGCAGAAAGGTGGTAAGTCACCTTCATTCCTTCAAAATCGGAATCCCTACTTGTAACTAGAAAGCGAAATCGTCAGCATCATCCTTCATTGCATATGTTTAACCGACAAATTCCAGAAGTTTCTGAACACAAACATTTAGGCATCATTCTTTCTTCTGACTGCACATGGCACAAACATATTGAATACATAACTGATAAAGCTTTGAAAAGGGTTAATATAATGCGTAAACTGAAATTCTCTCTGGATCTTAAATCTTTGGAAATTATCTATATACAATACAATACAATACAATACAAATACTTTATTTCGCTTGAAGGCCTCCGGCCCATGCACAATCAGAGGAATTGCATCAAGGACTACTCTGTACCACAATTCTTTCTTGCCATCAGTTATTCGTGATTGGAACAACTTGTCTGTTACAATACGAAACAGCCCGACAATATCTTCATTTAAAACTTTCTTAAACAAGGACAGGAAATATACACCAAAATACTTTTATACAGGTAGTCTTAAACTGCAGGTCCTTCACACTCGGCTTCGAACGAACTGCAGCGCATTAAATCACCACCTGTTTTAAAAAAAAAACATTTCTCTTACCCCTTTGTGTAATTGTGAGCAAATTGAAACTACCCAACATTTCTTTTTCGAGTGCTGTGCATACGATGCCGTCCGCAGAACACTCCTCCTTAACTTGCAAGACTTCAGCATCAACCTTCATAAGCCTCTCTATGGTGACCCATCTCTTACATACCAGGACAACGTTATTATATTTACAAACGTACAAAATTATATAGAAAAAAAGGAAAAGATTTATTTAGATCCATTCTTATTGACACTCTAATCCTCTCTCATCCTCTTTCTTCTCTTTCCCACAATTTTGTTGTCTTCTTTTATATATATTATTTCATTTTGACATCTACTTGTAGTTAATCTATTCTATATAAGTTTATATATAAATATATATTTATATATGTGTATAACTAATACTGATTCGCTTGCCTAGTATATACTAACTATAAACTTATTTAAGACAAAACATATAGTTCGCCAAAGGAGAAGAATTATATAAGATTTGTCCTTCATTCTCATCCTTTTCCATTGTGTAAAAATATTTTGTTTGTTATTTTTTTGTATGTACATTATATATACTTTCGGGAATAAATATGTCTTAACCAAGTGCAAGTGAAAATAAACACATGCCAACAATAATAAAACATACATTTGAAACAAGCGAAGCGATAATGCAATAACTTGACATATAATTCTCTGTAAATAGATTAAAAAATAACTTTAAAATGCATTGTTCTAGCGTTGTTCTAATATCTGGCCACAATAAATTTGCCGTCATGTTGCTTTAAATTGTTGTAACATATGCTTTTTATATAGTTCTTTTTGAATAATCAAATGAACGAAATAAACTCTCGCAAGCTTATTAAACATAACTTTGACCTACATTAGAGTTAGAAAATACAAAGAATAAATCTAAAAAAATGAATACATTGCTTAGTTTACAATTTTATAATAAAAAATGTTAGCAAAATGAAAAGTAAAGAAGAAATAATTAGAAAACGTGGAGGATTCATTAAAAAAAATGATTCCTTATATATTCTTATGCTTGGTCAGAGTTATGTTTGAGCTTGCTTAAGTTTGTTTCGTTCTTTTGATTATTCATGTGCACAGCTCCCTCCACCGGGATAGCAAGTATGAAAGGTGTGCTATCTACATTTAGTTTAGAGCTTGATTATTTGCTGTTGTGTGAATAACATTTTAGATGGTAAACATTTTTTCATGTTTGTATTATTCTTCATTATAAACTTTTTCATTTGGTGGATTCAAAATCATCATGCTTATGGCTGTTTGTGACAAAGATAGATATTAGATATGCTTTTGTACTTTGTGCAACACAGGCAATTATATCCTTTGGTGATGTGCAGATCTAGCATTTATCAAGATTTTGCACTGAAAGTCTTCAAACTTTTCGCCATAATGGAAAATGAACTTGAAATAAAGTTTATATGTCGCTTAAATCCCTAGAGTCTATTCAATGAAAGTGGAAGGACTAAAATAAAAATTATAAATTGGATTGATAACATGTAGATTATTATGTAGATTATTTTGACTGTTTACAGAATAATTAGAGCATTTTAAGTCGAGAGACACGGTGTAAGTGTTTCAACGGACAAGAGAAGCAACTCATATGGAAATAAATTGATAGACATGTGCATAGTTACCTCCCTTAGGATAGCTAATTGGAAAGATGTGTTAATTGCATTGGTGCGTTGTGTAAGATTTCAAAATGGTTAACACTTTTTATGTTTGTAATTTTGATGAATTTAGCGATCACGCAGCTTTGAATTTGTTTGTATATGACCTTTACTTTAAAACGGAAGTAAAGATAATGTACAAAACTATAGACTCTGAGGTATAATTTCGATACATGCACGGAATCCTGGTAAGTTATTTACAAATATTTGAAATCAAAGAGTAACACAATGGTTTAATAAAAGGGACATTATTTCTGACGCTCACTTTCTTTTTTAAAAAGGTATGCCCCCAACTGATGCTGCTTTAATTTTACATTCTATCATTGAAAATATTTGAACCAGAATAAAGATTGCAGTATGCATTTATATTCTGATACCATATACAGAAATACGCTTACGTATAATACAAAATTAATCGCCTGTTAATGTTCTTTATTTTCTTCAGGGTGTGTGATCCCTGTCGTGATCCGAGGGTAAACTACCACCACCAGCACCAGCAGCAGCACCACCACCAGCAGCACCACCAGCACCACCACCAGCACCAACACCACCAACACCACCAACACCACCAGCACCATCATCATCACCTTATACATCAACTTGAACAATGTTGCTCATCAGAAAGCTGTATAGGGTCATCATACAATACGAGAAAACATATCATATTTGCTTCAATGACACAAAAGAAAAAATCTCGCCTTTAGAAAATAATAACTTCAATTTAACTCTAATGTGTTTTATAATTTTGATTTTTAATTTGAAACCGTTCACTTTAACGTGATAAAATTTGATGGAGAGTCAAATTGATATAAAATATTCATGCATTCTAAAAGCAAGTAACATATTTGCACTTTTA